TTTAAATCCCTTACTTTTAGATTACAGCATGAGACGATTACACTGATATGCAGCAATATGAGATGTGAAAAACTCAGGTGTTAAAGAGTTGCCTTAGGAGACAAGTAATGTCATATATATATATGAATAAGTAAATGAATTCTAACTAGCCGGTTAAATACGATGTCCCGTATTCAAAGTAAGAAATTGATTGATTGAAAGGGAGGAACATCTTACTCTCGTCTTCTTCCATCTTCCACAATGAGTCCCAGGAAATGTCCTTCTCCATTGAATGACAAAAAATATTGCAGCAATCTTGATCACAATAGTTAGCAGTTAAAGGTTTTATCATTTTTTCCTCAGACATATCAATATCCTTCCATATGTCATCCATGGAATACCCCTTTTCGTCTTCGAATTCCTGACTTTTTTCCCCTTCCGAAGCTGCCGTGTTCGGCCCTCCGGTGTCGTAAAAACTTACCTTTCCGGTCCTTGACATAGGCTTTTTCTTTTCTTGAGCCTTTTTCCTTATGTGAGTTCTCCAGTAGTTCTTGATCTCGTTGTCGGTACGGCCAGGTAATTTCCGAGCAATTCTCGACCACCTGCATATCATTATCATACCTAGTGAATTCGAGTTCATAAAATCAAAAGGACATATGTCGAACTTTTAATGATATGTTATCATCTGATTTATCGAACCTATTTCCCCATTTGGCATGAAGTTCAAGGACAAGGCGCTCTTCTTGGGGTGTCATCTTGCCTCTTTTAAGACCAGGGTGAAGGTAATTAACCCAACGTAACCTGCAACTCTTCCCGGTTCGGTTCAAACCTACAACAAAATCATGTGGTTAAACCAGGGCTCATTGCAAAACCTGCCAATCTTTGAGATAATCCTACCTATCGGTTGTCTCCCGCCACACCTTCAAACCTGAAACTTTGGCTATATAATCCCATCGTCGATGGCCGAACAAGTGCACAAAGTTGATCAGGATCATGTCCTCTTGGTCCGTCCACGGACCCTTTCGGAGTTCATTTTGCTCCATTTTTGGATATTCGATCTTTCACTCCTTGTTCTCTGATTCTTCCTTGAATGTTGTTGGTTCATGGTGACACTTGGGGTTTAAGCTTCTCCTATTTATACTAAAAACTATACTTTCCCATTGTCAAGATTCTCTTGAGTGTCGTTTTCACGACATTATTATATGATGCTGCTGCACTAGTTACATGTTGTAATGCGCGCATGCTCATTTGGGATGGCAACCTTATGCATGTGATGTCAGCCACTAAATGGATCCAAAATAATCAAAGTGATAGGTTGATATGTTGATGTAATTTTCAAATGTGAACTGATATCATTCATCTTATTAGTTGAAGTGTCAAAAACAGAATTGCAGAGAAATCACTTTAAAAGGAGCTGATTGCAAAAACTACAGTTACGTGTCCTACAAGTATGTTATCTATTTTACACTCAAGTTTTCTTTGTTTATGAAATTATGCCTTATTGGTAAAAGGGAGTATTATTCGTTTCAAGTTAAAATAGTTGTGTTTGTAGGGTGTGTGTCGTCTATGGCTAATACTCTCAATTGACAATAACACTCAAACATCCCTGCAGACATCGTGTTCAAACTCGATATCTTTATGAATAACAACCATCTATTCATTCACTAAAGTGGTTTGGTTCGTGTAATTTTCTTTTTTAAAAAAATGAGCAAATACTTTGAGGGAGGGAATAGAGGCTAGACCCACTTCCCCAATCCATTCAACGTGAGGAAATAATGTTGGTGTCCCTTGACTTCAGTAAAGGCCATAGATGAAGAGAAGCCCTTGACTTCAGTAAAGGCCATAGATGTAGATAATGTTTAAATTGACCTGGTAAAACTTAATTTGAATTCGAATTAACTAAATTTTTAAAATTTGAATTATTCCTGTTCAATTATTTGAATTTTTCGGATTAAAATATATCATCACACTTCAGGTCCAAGGAGAAAAAATGAGAACCAAACAAATAAATCTTTGGGAAGGGACATTGTAGAAGATAATATAGGATATGCCACTTGAATTTATTTAAGTTGCAATTGATCAGAGTTGGTAATTTTTTATGAGAATATATACAGAAAATGATGGTTTTTTTAAATATATTATTGTAAAATATTTCCATTAGCACTTGTAGAAAAAAATAAACAGAGCATAAATGACAAAAAATAATGATTATATAATGAAGAAGTATTGTTTTTGAAGTAATTTCGTCTCATAATACAAAAACTTGGATACATAAATAGAGAATATAAAAACCACTTAATATTGCTTTCCTCAGGAAAAGAAGTTGATCGAATGAGATATAAAAGAGAGAAAAGGAGATTTTACTTCTATTTTTTTTTTTTTTTGTATATAATGAGAACATATACATTATTTATTAAAGCTGATAAAGGGGAAACAGTAAAAATTACGACAGTTTCTAAATTCATACAACAGTAAAAATTGGGTAGCAACAACATCGTGTATGTATTCAAATTTATTTTCAATTAATTCATATGATTAAGAGATGTTCTATATAAAATTTTTTAATACTCTATTTCCAATCAATGTGGGATTACCCACTTTGCATTATCTCCAGTTTTTGCCGTTCAGCAATGCGACTCTCGGGGTTTAATTAAGTTGACATGCACGAACTACTTTCATTTCTAGCTGATAACCTCTTGAAAAAATGGTTGATATGAGCCTTGAAATGGCTAGCTTTTTGTATCTACCCACCAAAAGTCTCCAATGAATGCAGGACTTAGGGTATACTTTTCGTTTTCATCATGATTGACGCATTAACTGTTGGCACTTAATAGGTTAAATCACCACCAAAAATTCGATAAAGAAGACAAATATTTAAAGTGGGATTTGGCATCATCTTTACCTATACAAACCCAGCATTATACTTGTGTCGATGTTACAACTGTTGCGAGCATAGCTAAAGGTATAGTAGAACAATGACAAATCTCAGGGGGTTGAATGGCCCCGGCAGCTCATGAGCCCTTATAATTCAGTGGAGTGAGGATAGCAAGACTTCACCTTAAAAAAGAAAAACCCTATTTATGATGTGGAAACCAGCCAGATTTATGGCCACCCCACTCATTCACAATACTACCCATATATCCAATCATGATACCCAACTTGTCACCAATTCGTGGTTCTGGGATTTGTTTGAATTTTCAGCATACATGTTTGCCTTCCTTTGTTCTGTCTTAAGCAGCAAGTTGTAGCCATGGATGTTGTAATGACCAGTCCCTCTCTAATATAGCCATTAACTACACGTGTGAGTCTAACTAATTCTGGTCAAGTTTATCTTCAGGTCATCTCAGGTCAGGTCTATTTTGATTTTGAACCAATTTCAAGACATACTTGAAATCAATTAAACCAATCCAATTGAAGTATACAACTTTAGGTGGTTCACTCTTTTTAATTTGAGTGAAGAGTCGCAATCGGTAGAGGAGCGGTCGTTGGTCGATATTAAATCTTCTGTCTCCATAAGAGGTAGAAGATAAGTTAGTGAAGAGTGGGTCTAGTCCTTTCTCTCGATCTTAATTGGGGGGTTTTATAGTGATCCTTAATATTGGTGGCAGACATAAGTTCATGATAATTACTCGTAGGCTGATAAGATATGTGAATATGAACGGCTAACAATGAATTTATATAAGGTGGGTTACGTGGACTTGTTAGAGATCATATCAAGGGATTGATGTGCCAGTCGTTTGAGGTTCTTGGGAGATGTTCTTTAGGGGTTTTAACTATAGAAAGGATCGTCAGAGGTCTTGAGACTCGGAGAATAATCTTGCGGAGGATCTTTGGAAAGAGTAACGACAAAGTTGAACTTGTTCAAATTTAAATCGATAAATATTCGAATAGTAATTGAGGTCAAAATTTGTAATTCCATTCTCTAATCAAAATTGTACTGGACTAATAGATATACTTGGTGTGCTTACTTTGAGATTATAATTTCCATGATCATGTAATTTGATAAAATGATAATATTGATAATGCTAAAGGATTATGCTTTATTAAGATCAGGATGTGTTATTTTACTGAGGTTAAGTATATATAGTGTGGAAGAGGGGGCTTTTCAGTTTTGTCGTATCTGGAAACAAAGGTCCCATTGTTTGGGGTGGTGGATTAAGCATTATAGAACAAGTAATTACGCATTGATTAATGCTTACTAATTATAAGATTAAGAAACGATCATTTCTTGATGCTGATTTTACATAAATATACGACACTGGTGATTGTAGGGACACACTGATAATTAGTCAAAGGCCAAGACTAGATTTAATGATAAACAAAATACTGGGTGCTTTATTGGACCACTTCCCACTTGTACTAACATTTATATGAGATTATGAAAGTGCGTTTAGCAATGCATTTTCTAAATCCATCATGGATATCATTTAACCCAAATAGAACAAAATAGAGGGGAAAAGGTTAAAAAACCTAACAAAAATATTGGAACAAAATAACGAATAAATTTGATTTTATCAGTAAAAGAACTACAAAAAGGGGCTAAAGCTATTGAAAGACCACTGATAAATCGTAAATCATAGTCAAGCGACGTGAAAAAATTATCCATTAATTCAAAATGTGTATCCAAATCAATCCGAGGGTCCAAAGCAAGAAGATCAATATGATAACAAATAAACGTCATCTTGATCAGTCGTGGCGATGTCAAATTCAATTTTGAAAAAAAAAATATAAACGAAAACAACAATAAAAAAATCAAAAATTGCCAAAAGACAAATATAAACGTGTAACAAAAAATAGAGATAAATATATCATAAAAACATTATTATTCCTAAAATATAAAAAAATAAAGAATAAATACAACCAACAATCGACAACTAGTATTAAAACTGGCGTCGTCATCTACTAAACAAAATCAAAAAAGAAAAAAATTGATTTGAATTATAAAAAATAACATAAATTACAAAGAAAAAAAAGAGAGAGGAAAAAAAGAGAAGCTACGGTTTTTTAAAATAATAGAATATATAAATTTTGAGGATTAATATATTTTTATTCTAAAAATTTTATAAGTTAATCAAATAACATAAAATCTATTAATTAATTAAAAGACAAAGAAAAGCTAATGTACTTACGTAGAGATAAGGGTGTTGCATCAGCTTGGGCAGGGTGGAGTACATCTCTAAGGTGGGATTGGAATGCGAAGAAAATGAAAGGACCCAACACCATTTGTTTGGTGTAATGTCCGCCACGAGCTTAACACATTTTCGGGATTTTATGTAAAAGCAAATCAAGATCAGGCTGCTATTCAAATTTTCTTTCTTTTATATCAAATACTTTCAATATTTTAATCAGGATTTTAGAAGAATAAAAATCATTACAAAATGACCATTTTGATCAAGTACATGAACGTGACGTAAGCTTCGTTAGTGCTTTTTGGTCCACCATTTTAATATAGTCATTTTGACACGATTATTTTGGTGTTTAAGAAGCTCAAAACAACGTCGTTTTGTAGATGAAAAAAATATATTTTTCATGAGATTCAAATCAAAAACCTATAAAGATAAAAAGCTAGACACTCAACCACCAACTGACTTAAAAATTAATCTTGTTTTTAATAAAATTAATATATATGTTAACTAGTAGTTTGGATTAATATCATTTATTTAATATTATTTTTATAATTATATTAATTTATAAACATTATTTATAAGTGATATTATTTATTTAATATTATTTTATAAATATTATTTATAATTTTATTTCTTAAAAAATAAATTTATTTTCCTAATTATCCCCAGAAATCGATGAGAAATCCCGCTGATCATTGTATCATTAGTCTTCAATCACCATTAGCCATCATGCCGTTAAACTCCAAAATACATTACATTAACAAATTCAATACCACCTCTTGAGCGTAAATCCAGCCTTGGTATCACCAAAAAAATCTTAAACTTGACTAATTGATGCCAAATTTTTTCATTTCTTTGTCCTATGATCTCCATCATTAATCGTCAGATCTTCACCGTTCTAAAATATGTCGGTCTACTCACCATTGTACATCTTCTCACTATCTTAATATATCATTTGATCATCAAGTCACCATCATCGAAAACCCAAAAGTAAAGAAATCGTCGGAACATCTTGTTAGTGTAAG